TCAAGTAGAAGAGAACATTGCAACTGAGGTAGTGTTGTTATTGTTGTAGACTGATGCGTAGATCTTATGTAGTTATGTTTTAAGAAAAGTGAAAATAGTAAAGGAAGGAGAATAATCCTCAAAACAGAGCCATTGCCTCGGTGTTAAGATGAATAATGGATGTTAGTCGTTGATTGCAATAGTTTCATTGTCGGTTAGTCATGTGTCTTCACTTATTTCAATTCTTAGTTTGCATGTTTTTCTTTCGGACTGACGAACGTAGTATTAGCTAATTTAATTGTTCTTAGCATTTTATTGTTTACAGATAAGGCTGTATTGTTGAAGGGATTTTTTTGTGTGAAGATATTCATGTATTATGTGTGTAAGCTGGACTAAACTGGTAACAAATGTTTTGTTTTTGAGTTTACCAAGTAAATAAGCCTTAGGCTTTTGTTAAATTGAGTAATGGTGATGTTAATTTACAAGCGATAGATTAAGTTGGGTAAATGTAACAATGAAAACTTGTAGTGATCTACTAGATTGTTTGTTGAATATGGTTTTGTGGAATAAACTATTTGTGTTGACTGACCTATGAACAAGAGTGGTATGTGAGCAATATTTGAAGAAGATACAAGGGTACTGCATGATTATCATTCAATGCTGTTGTATATTCAGGTATATTCTTTCTAAATGATTTTACTTACATTGAATGTATATACGTTACCTAAATGATAAGATTATGGGAAAGCAGATACAGTTGATGGTTGTTTGCCGTAGCTAATTGTTTCGTAGTTGTTTTTTTTTCCAGAATTTTGTTAGTATGCTATAACTTGTGACAACAACTTGTTGAAATAACTGTTATTTAATGTATTCCGTACATTTCTACTGTTTGGAAATGAATACAAACTAGACGCGAAGAAGTGTTGATCAAAATAATTGAGTATTGTCGAATTTTTTATTTGATTTAAGTGTGATTGTGGTAATTCGTACTTGTGTATTGTTGGTAAGAAACAAGAATTTAGTGCTCTTAGTATATTGATTACTGTTTGGTTAATAGATGTAGCGTCGAAGAGTTCGTTCTGCGGTCGAAAAAAGCGGATTAATACTAATTGATTGTTAAGTCGCTGGATGTGGGATGGTTTATGACTGGTTGGTCATGAACCGTTTTAACTATTGATAAAATATGAAGTACTTAGTTATTGAAAACTATGAGGCATGTAGAAATATATATTTTGTATATTACGTACGTTAGCGACTTGATTTAATGAAAATTGGCTAAAGCAATTTAGGTTTCTGCAAGGGTTTCCCATGCTACGAATGACGGATGAAATGAAAGTAATCGTTACTAGAAGTGGTAATGGTGTGATGAGGCTAATTAAAATCTGTCAGATGAGTGGTAATTGCAAAAGTGTTTGGCGGTAAATATATTCCTGTGGCAATAGTTATTGCATGAAAAGAAAGCCCACATTAACGTTGTACTCTAGGTGAATACATATCACAAATGCCAAATAGATGAGGGAAATTTGAGAAGTGACAAACTTGATAGTAGAACATGGAATGAAGTTCCATATTGATGCTTACTAGACAACATAATACATATTATATGTTAAGATCAGGTCAACGCTTATTGATCTGAGCGACATAATTTTGAGGCCACAGTTTTCAATTTCATTACTGAAAGTGATGTAAGCGTTTGCGAAAAGCAAACAACTGACCAAACCACAAAGGATTAACAGTGTTAAGATCATTAGCCTCGTTGTGTGTGAATCATGACCGCGAAGTTGGACTTGATTCAACTGATTTGACAAAGCAAGCCATGTGAGAATTTTGTACGGGTTTGTGTGATTTCCATAATTTATGAATTTGTGGTGAAATTGTGCACGATGGAAGGGGGGATATTTTCATATATTATTATGTAGACAAAGATTATCCAGTTAATAAAGAGATTACTAAGATGATATTTAATATTAGATTGATTTGTGAGTTGACGAAATATTGACTAAGTTATCATTGCAACCGTGAATGACCGACAAGTTTTAATTGTAGTGGTGACCATGTGAAATTGACAAGTAGAATGGTAGTCATTATTTTCACCCTCTCATCATGTACACTATGTTGTCTAGGTCTTTACATATGTGGTTGAGCGGTTGCACAAGTTAGTAATTTGTGGAGGATGTTTAATACGGCAATGTGCATTTCGAATGAGGACGCTAAATCTTATGTACATGATTTGAAGGTATTGGGAATCTATTTGTCAATAAAAATTGATCTAAATAATCACTTACGACTTGGACATAAAGCCTGATATGTAGTTAATAGATGATGATGATGATGATGAATGAATGAAATTAGTTTTTGAAGTGGTAGTGACGTAATTGTGTTATTTTGGTTAAGTGGGAAATGCTCCTGCCCTGTCTAGGTATGTAACTGTTTGGGATTATTTTTTGCGGGAAGAGTTTTCGTGACGTACCTGGTAACTTTGCAGAGTAGATTGTCGTTGTGATTGATTAGCATAGGTGCATTGTGGATAGTTAATGCGAAATAAGCACCTAGGATAAGTCCGATTATTCAGTTGATCAATAAAGAAGTGTCCTGATAATCATAAGTGGATATGTAGAATTATGAATATCTCCGTATTAACCGTGATGCTGCATGAATGAGAATACGGTCGTGGCAGGTAATTGTGAGACTCTAGTTATTATGATCTTTGTTCATGCACACATACATACGAATCATGTAGTGTAATTATGAATGATGCTTTAATAGGGATCTGACAAACGGTATCGATTGCTATACAACGCGTTTGGTATTATCTAAAGACAAAAGTGTCTAGTTGCAAATGTGCAATGCTAAACTGCAATTATTATCATTCTCATTTGTTTTTATTATTGAAAATGTAATTGAATTGAGTTTGATAGAATTTACTTGAAAGTGTCTAGTCAATGTGATGGTACAAAAGTGTATCTATAACTAAACCTTGAGTTAGTTGGTGATTAGGATTTCTATAATTAGAAGTGATGGACAATAGTTTGTGCGATAGTTTAATATATCAATACTTCATATTAGTCGATTTGATTCTATAATCATTTGAATGACTCTTTTTAATATATTGATAAATATAGTTTATTTTTTTTTCTTCTTGTTCTTTTATGTCTTTGTATTCGGGGAATTTATCATATAGAATAGTGTTATGTAATTCTATTGAATTATCATTATCTAATATATTCTACATCATTTTGTTTTGCCTAAAATTGTTTTTTCCAACTTGTTTGTTGCCAAGATTTTCTGTATGTGTTTGGTTAGCTACTATTTTCTTGTATTGATTTGTTTTTTTTTTACTATTTTGACGATGATCTTTACGAATGTTTTTTTTTTGGAATGGTGTTTGGATCTGCTTTTTCTTACACCTTTTTGGATCTCTTATTAGCCTATACTTGATCGTTGTTTTTTTGTAGGTGTATCGTGCCTTTATTTTTCTTACTTTCTCTTTCTTTTTAGTCTATTTTAAAGGGATAATGTTGTCACTTTACTTGTTTTCCATTATGTTGATGTACCAATTGTTAGGATATTAAAAATGTTTAACATCGTTTTGCCATGTATATCTTTCTTAGTAACCTATATAGTGTGATACTCTTGATAATCCCCCCTTTGTGTTTATGATTACTTGTTAAGTTCTCTTTTCTTCAGTTTTCATTAATCGACCCTTTTTCATATTCGGGATTGTTTTGAGTGACTTATTTGCTGTTTTTTTGTTTGACTGAATAATGTCAAGTCGTATCTTATTAGGAATATTCTTTACCGTTAGAAACATTTACATTTATTAAATAGTTCACCCAGGTCTGTTGAGAGATATCAACTCATTGAAGACAATTGGTGAACGGTTGCTCAATTTCGGGGATTAGTTGAAGTTAGATATTAAACCGTTGGATGCCGTTCGGCTGAGTGGTCTAATGGTTAAGCACTCGCTTGCGAAACTGATAAGTCCTGGGTTTGAATCTCACGAGTCGAGATCGTGGATTCGTACTTCTCAGAAGTCTCACAATAGGACGAGACGGCTGTTCAGTGCTTCCAGGTTTTCCATGGTGTTCTAACTTCAATTGACTCATGATTTCAACTACAAAAATTACTAAAATCTTCACAAAAACCCTTTTATGATCAATAATTAAACGTTGGTTATCACAATGTAAGAATGATTACTTAGATATTTTATTAGTACTGAATGAATGTATCATCTCTTAGTGTTGTTAAACAATCCTAAAGTTAACATGACACAGTTTATCTTAATTTAAAATACTCAGCATATGCTAGATCTTTGCAAGATTTTACGTTAACCTATTTAATGATGTTTATAATTGTTATACTGTGTAAACAACTATAATTTGTGTAGTAAGCAAAGATGGATAGTGACTAGCAGTGGAATCCAGTTTGACGCGCTTTTCGTCTTATTTGGGACTCATCAGCTGGATGTACCTGCATCTCAGAGTTGATGTTCATCACTCTGGGACTCCAACCCAGTACATTTCGCTTGTGAATTAAGGCTATATCGAGGCAATACACACAGTATGTATATATTGCCAATTAGAGACTGACCAGTTGCAGTCCTAACACATCGATGGGAAAATCCAAACAAATAATACTAAATGAATTTATAATTCGTGTAGTTACTGATAAGGTTTTGTTTTTTTATGGTTCATTCATTATCTATCATTGGATATCTGTAATTATCACGTCTGTATTCAAACTTATTTTTGTTATGGAAAAGGGAATTCCAACGACTGGAAACAAATTTTCGACTTTTACTAGATCATACTTATTCGCAAATATTAATAAAGAAACAACAACAACACAAGATAATAAGATCCATTACTAATGAACAGAATCAACAAAGATCACCAAAGTCACAAAACCCATCCTCTCACCACATTGTCTATAACCCCATAAATAAACAATCAACCAACTATGTTAATGAACTGAGTAAACAATTTTCGTAGAATAGTTTTGTCAACGTTAATTTTGTTTCCTTAGGCTGATGCAGAAACGAATAAATCACGAGGAACACTAGAACTTCTTCTTTGGCGCCAAAATGGTCTCTTTGTTGCCATAGGACCAAAAGTTTCAAAATTCAATTGGCGTTCTCTTTTAGATAATGAAGTCCAACTGTTTCCACCTATGGTACCGCTTGAATTAGATGTTCGTCCACGTGTTGATAAACCACTATTATAATGACTGTTTGTTGATTTCTTATATTTTCTGCGTCCACTCTGAAGGTTAGTAGGGCTTCTTGGTCGTCCGTCTGACCTACTTATCTGATCGTAAAAACACTTTTCTCGGACATAGTATTCACCTCTAAAATTTAAACAAATATTTCATTTTTGACTTGAAAATAAGCTCATAGATACCTCGAAATATGCATTGTAAAGTTTTATCTTATTTAAGGTCTATGATTAAGTTTCTTTAAATCAAAGAAATAGTACACAAATAACTCAACTACATTTGAATCATAATGATTCCATCGTTTAACTAATCATCCGTTAGACTAAACGTAGATGCAATGACTAGCAGGTATATTAATGTTAAACGAATCATCTTGTATGTAGTTATATTCATATCCATCATATTTACCCCTTAGCATTATTGTTCTGTGATATCTAATATCTTCAATCATTCTAGTTCTAGCTATTCCATAAAGCTTAATTATCACTTCTGTTCTGTGTGCTGTAATATCTGTACTTTAGAATCATCTTGATAAAAATTACTCTTGGTATGAAAGAAGTTATGCTCTCAACCCCTGTAATTTGTTTATTTAAAATTGTTAGTTATATGCTTAGGGGTTAATCCATGTATATTTTCTATTTCATCTCACCCTAGTGATCGTTTCTTAGTTCTGTCATGCCATTTTCCATTTCCCAATAATAGCATAGATACTAAACAACTTTTAACGGTGCATTTGACTTAATTTTTATAAAAATATCTTTCGGAAGACATTTATAGCTTACTAATATCATCATTTTTCACCTGCATGAGTAAGTAGTACCTAACTGGATCACTAAAATTTTGTACACTACCGAATAATGATTGTTGTTCAGTCTATGAGTACAACTTTCCAAATTCGAATAAGTTCGAAACATTTTTTAGAAAAATGAGATCTTATAATTAGTATCCATAAGACTGTGAAACTATAAAGGCACATCGTCTTAAATCAGTTTCGCTGTTTCTTCCTTGAGTTCAGTCATAATTTCTAAAGTATTTTTCAGTAGCACTTTTCTTTAAGATAGTTTTATTTTCAGTAATAGCAAAGAACGTAAAACTTATGCTTACGTTTATTTCAGTGACTAAACTCACTTAGATAAAGTTTCCTTACTCTCAGATGGACGTTTGTTTTCAGAAATGAGAACGTTTGTGTTATTGGCTGTAGTAGAACTAACTGCTCCTGAAGAGGATTCCCTAGATAAATTATTGGAATTAATTGGCAATCTCGAAGCATTATTTGTTGCCATCGATGGTATTGGCCGATCTCCAATAGTTCGCTCTACCTCTGAATTCTCTCGACTTACTGAATCTTCATCCGTGTTTAGGCTCATCTTAGCCAACTCGGCTTCCAGTTCAGCATTTGCCGTTTCAAAATCATATGGTATCGTACAATCTATTTCTTCTTTCAAATGGAAAAAATTAGAAATGAGTAAAGCAATATTTTCCGACTTCACCATGTAGACTGACAGAAATCACATACATAGTGTCTGTCATAAGTGTGTTGACCCATGTTGTTATACAGAATAAGCTCTATGGGATAAAGATAATTGAGGCGATGGAAACAATTTAGTAGCACTAATAAAAAGTAAAACTAGACCTTTGGAATGTTTCATAAGTCTACAGAAAAAGAGTATATGAAGAGGTGCTAGAATTCATGATCAAGGAATGGATAATTAACCATGTTATCCAAAGTCTCCAACCACTAATCGTGGTTATCACGTGAACACCAACCAGGTAGTCTAAATCTACTTACATGGCTTAGACCAACATTCAGTGTTTTAATGAACTGATGCCATGTTTTGGTTTGGTCGTCCGTAGCCTTCTTCCAATTTGTGTTTGGATTGGGACGCAATGCTTATGGAAAAAGGCGGTGGTTAAACACGCGGAACACATTTCGATATAGATTTACAACTTTATCAACTAATTTACCACCTTTGCTATGAATACCTTGTGTAACTTTAACATTGCTCAATCTGTCGTTTCACGAAACACTAGCAATACTGTAGTATGTGCTACTAATGTCGACAGATATAAGTAGTATATATCACCAATCGAGGGTGGAGTGCCTGGAGGCAGAAGGTTGAGAAAACTAAAGAGAAAAGAACGAGGACAGAGAATGTTTGGTAATGGAAAATGAAAAAAACTAAGTCTGAGACGATTGATGGATTTTTGAAAATGAAATATTTACTCAGATTTCACCAAGATATACTGTAATGTTGTATTAAAATACATTTGGTTGTTCCCGTCTGTGTTCGCGTTCACTACAATACCTATAGGACATATATGTTCGAAAAATCCTCGTCTTACTCATGTCTTTTCCATCGGCCAATTATGACAACGATAGAGCAGAACCAGGTGGTTTGCTGCATCGCATACACGCTCACTAGTTGACGGACGAACATCTCTCCTAAGCTACAAGTTTGCAAACGCCAATCAGGCTTTCATAGTGCATGCCGAAATTTTGTTAGACACCGATTTGATATGGGAAACAATTTCATACTGCTAGTAATTTTAGATTTTTGTTTAAACTAAACGTGTTCACATACGAATGCACTAAAAAGCTGTCATCTTTTTCGCTAACCATGCTAGTGTATTCTGTTGGCAGACAAGGTGGTATTTGGGTTCGAAAATATGAACTGTGGCTCGAACAGTCTGTTCGCAGTTCAACTAAGTAGGACCCTTTAATGTACTGTAGTTTTGAACTCAGCTAACATACTTGGAGAATCAGCTGGTCATAAAGTACACTTTATTTGCAACTTAGTTTCTGAAAACATTTAACTTACCAGATTGAACTCTGGGATTGATTCTTGTTGCTTTTCTTTCTAACATCCGGCGTCTGGTCCCTCTGAACCGAGGGAACATAAAATTGGTCGATCTTTGTTGCATGGTTGTTGCCACTTCAGGAGGCAAATAAACATACACTCCATAAGGATTTACACTACTTCTAATATGTTGTCTGTAACTACTGTTTGGAAGTCTCATTGGTCGAATTTGTCTATTATTACGATATCGTAATCCTAAATGGCCAAATTTAGGTGGATTAGAAATACTCATAAGTCTAAATGGTGGGTTTTGTATAATCGGAGGATAACCAAACTTTTGAAGATTTCCTGGGTGTGGAACGATTGGAAACATAGGTATGTAATCCCTTTGCTTCGGTAAAGGTCTCATGTTACGACTTCGACGAGAGTACGTGTTTAGCATACGTGGTTTATGCACGGTACGTTGATTTGATGGATCTCTACTTCTATTCACAACTGAAAAATCTCCAGTAGTCGACTTATTTTTAATTGAACTTATTTCCACGAGACGTTTTTGGTCCCTAGGAGCATAGCCCTGCAAACGAGAGTAAAAGAAATCCGCAAAGAAAAATTTTAATAATCTTATAGTTAGATTTATCAGTTATTGATTTTTTTTTCAAATTTCATTGATCGGGTGTAGCAAGATCAGTACTAAGTAAACTATCTCTCTATAGAATTTACAATAATATTACATCATAGTCACTGAATAGAAATGTGCTTTAATCGGACATAACTATATCAGATGCCTACCATATTATACAATCATACCTTATCGATATTTCTATTTGCTATATTTGGTATTATTATTTGAATATATAAATATTGGTACAAGGGGGTACCAGATATGTATGCACCACACAAAGAATGGCCATTTCATTTTAATTGTGTGAAGGTTATGATACTACCCGGGTGCTCAGATCGAAGCAGGTGTTTTTCTTAGGGGGCCACACCCCGAGCTTTTGACCTAAAGGTCTGACCCACAAGGCAGTGGAGCATTGTGAGGGGATGCATTATCACGGTAGCTGGTGACCAATAATTACTTCATACATCATTCGTTCCCTCAGAGTAGTGGAGCGCATTTGCATCATTGGTTTGAAATCAGGGTTTCCTTACTCCCCTAGGTGGACCCACCGGTCCGGTTAAGGCACCGGACATTCGCTTTTCATACTCTCAATTTGGTAAACAACAGTAATGCCACGAGAAGGCAGTGAGTAGGAATTCCCTGTCAGAGGCTGTATACGCGTGGCCGTGTGAGAGCATTTCGATAAAGATGACGAGCCCTCCCTACTTTCGGCCGTACCAGGACATTTGGGGGGGGCAAGATGATAGTTACAGTAAGTACAAAAAACAAAAACCATATGAATGAAACATTATTTCGTTGGAAGTTGAAAATAAGTAAGGAATTATCCACCTATAAGTTAAAATATATCAACAATATTATAGAAGGTGAAGTATTAGTCTTTACATTAACTCTATTTGAAAGTTTTCATTTTGAAGCAACCTAATTAAACACTATGTAGTTCTTCATATTTTTTAAAGCTTATATTAAGATGCATCTGGATCATCATTTTAAATCAGATCAGTTTTGGCACCTGGGCAGTATCACAGCCCTCACACAAATCAAATAAGATTTGTGCGGCGCATTTGTATCTGGTGCTTCCTCAGTTAATGATTCCTTATACCTTACCTAAATATTTGAGCATAAAAACTTCTAGTTAGAATGCAACATAGTAATTCTTATGTATAAGAATTCTGTACCCATCATTGGTAATTATAATCTATTTCATTCAAATCAAACATTTAAGATACAATCCAAGTATTTGACTATGTTCATATGAACTTCAGTGTTTGTATTTAGTTTGCACTAGGTCTATATTTAAGAATAATCATTGGTTTAAATTCACTTAGTATTGTTTGTTTTGAATCTTCCCATTGATGTTTAGTGCTGCAACTGGTTAGTCTATAATTGAAATATGTGCATACCGTGTGTATTGCCTCGATATAGCCTAAATTCACAAGCATTGTAAGCAAAGATGGATAGTGGTTAGCAGTGGAATCCAGTTTGATGCGCGTTCCGTCCTATCTGGGACTCGTCAGTTGGATGTAACTGCATCTCAGAGTTGATGGACAACGAGATGACGTTTGAAGCGAAAGGTACTGGGTTTGAGTCCCAGAGTGAACATCAATTCTGAAATTCAAATACACCTAACTGAAGACTCCCGAATAGGACGAAACGCGCGTCCTGGATTCCATTGCTAGCCACTATCCATCTGCTTACAATCATTGGTTTACTTTCTAATGTTGGTCACTAGTAAAACTTGTATATAACTTCGACATAACAGATCATTCTTATGCTCAACTTGTCTTACTCTTTTTTTCCAAATGGCTTTTAAACCAGTTGGTGATATACTAGAGTCTAGTTTGCTTCATTCGTTTTGAATTCATCATCTTCCTTCCTAAACTGTTACACTTAGACCTCATATATAAACAATTTCTCGGAAATATCTAAATTAGATAACTGGTTGTTTAGTGTCAACGAATCTTCATCTAGATTTATGTATATTCATTGTGTTTCACTTCAAAAGTTTGTCAGCTTCCTTCTGGAATATAGGTGAAGCTTACAAATTCAAATGCATGCTATTTATTACTATTACTACTATTATTCATTTAACTATTAAAACTGATTTGTGGGCCAGGATGATAATAATTGGTTGTTTTGTTCAGTCAGACTTGTAGGTAGTCGAACAGGTACTAAATGAGTTATATATTCTCTTATCCTTATTCATTAGTATTATTATTGATTACTGGTTGTTGCCCCGACCGTTGCCGCTACCTTGACGTGGTGGTTGGACTTGTCTATCGTGATGAACCGATCGAGGTATACTGGCTGGAACAAACGTTCTTCAAGGTCCTACCATGCCAGACAGGTCGGTTGAAGAGCAATAAGACTAAAAGCAGCAAACCCAAGGTCCGAAGGCGAAGTCGTACTGCTGACTGCACAGAGGTGTGACGGCAGTAAGGTGTTTCCTTCAGACAACCAGCATAACAGCGATGCTGCCTTCCCACAAGGAGGGGTGGGGTTAGAAAAGGTCAACCCTAAAAATGCACACCTCGCCTTATCTCACGGATTTCCGTCTCCGCCGGTAAGGTCCTTTGAAGAACGGAGCTAACACGGAAATTACTCACAAAAAGGTCGTGTGTGACCGACCTCAAATATTTGTCTCTTGGACACTGGTCACGCTCTCAGGTCATTAAGACCACTTCTAATCCAATTTCGTTCCCACGTACCTCTAGAAGAACCTTTCCACGATATGGGCAACCGGGAAGTGACAACCGCTCTCATAACTATAACAGCGTTCAAGATCACTGTATTCATAATCAATCTCCTTCTTCAATTCCTATTATTCCTCACATCTTGACTTTTAACACTGAACTTCCTCTTTTGGCTTCCTCCCCAAGTGTCACCATAGCAAACAATTATAGTGCGCAAAACACTCTCCCAGGTCTATTAAAACCTCGCTCCAAACCACACACTGGAGCCTTCAACGTACGTACTCGATGTCAAATCCGCCAACAGGTCTCCTTGGCTAAGACCCTAGAATCTCGTACGATTGATGTATACACGCATAAAAGATGCTAGTGTGATCATTCACTTGACCTCACCTGGCCAAAATGGACAGCCGATGAAGTACATCCCTCTGTGTATCTGGCGACCTGTGGGCTGGTTCTGGTGGACTCACAGGTGTAGGCATAGCACTTAGTACAAGGGCAGAACAAACACTATTAGAATGGATCCCCGTTAACAATCACCTGTGTGCTGTCCGGCTAAATGGCTCCGTAAGAACTTGCAAGGATAAGGACACACGTCGTTGTCTTTTCGTCGTTTCTACCCACGCTTCTACTTACTGCAGCCCAGATGAAGTGAAAGATGAATTTTACAGAAAGCTCTGTGAACTTCATAAAAGTAAACGCTCAGACATAGTACTAGTTGCAGGTGACTTTAATGCCCAAGTTAGTAGCTTAAACCAAACGGAAAGACATTTAGGTGGGTATTTTAGTATTCCGGCTCAGCGAACAAATAATGGTTATCGTCTGTTGCAACTATGTTCAGAAAATCGTTTATGTTTAGCAAACATTAATTTTAAGCGTAAGGAGAGACATTGTCTAAAATGGCGACCTCCTGCACGAAACCAACGACGGACTCAAATAGACCATATTACCATCAGTCATCGTTGGAGAGGCTCTATAGAAGATTGTCGCTCGTACTGGAATACATGTTTAGACTGTGATCATGCTTTAATACGAGCACTCATTTGTTTGCGCCTCACTGGACGCAGAAAAGCCATACTAAGAAAGCACATTAGAATTGAACTCAGTGACGAGAAAGCCAAAAGTTTCAGGAACAACTGAGTTCATATTTAGACCGTTCTGTAAATGAGGCTGACCCAGATGCTGTTTGGAAAGATATACGAACAGCTGTGGAAACAGCAGTAACATCTATTAGTAATTTGAACCAAAAAGTTAAAAAAAAACAATGGATTTTCGTAAATTCATCCCATCAGGCTCTGAACACGATGAAGAGCGAAAGCAGATCAGAACTAGGTTAACAAAAGTCTAAGGAACAACCGTGAGCAGTAGTGGGCAACGAAAGCAAAAGAGATGGAAAAAGCAGCGGCTGTAGGTAATACCAGATAGCTTTTCAGACTAATAAAAGAAACCGGAGTTAAGAAGTCAAGTGTAAGTGAGACAATCTCGGAAAAAGACGGAACCCTTATCTGCTCTCAACCCAAACGTTTAGAACGATGGGCGGAACACTTTAAGGAGCAGTTCGGCTGGTTTTCGGATACTTTAAAACTATCCAGCATTTTCAAACAACCTAAATGTAACATTGAAGTAGGTCCACCGACTCTAGCTGAAGTGCTCCAGGCTATAGCTAGTGTGTAACAAGGATGAGCAGATGGATTGGATCCAGAGGTCTTTAAGGATGGTGGTCCAATTTTAGCGATTCGGTTGACTAATATTTTAGCTAAAATCTGGAAGTTGGACGTAATCCCATGACAGATTGTCCAAATATATAAGAAAGGGTCAAAATCATCCTGTGATAATCATGGCATCTAAAATACTAGCCTCAATAATTATCGGACGCCTAACTAAGACTCGTGAACTCCAAACACGAGAAAATCAGGCTGGCTTCAGACCTGGTCGTAGCTGTATCGACCACATATTCACCATTCGTCAAATTTTAGAGCACAGACATGCTTATCGGCGTCCGACAATGATAGTTTTTCTTGACCTAAAAGCAGCATTTGATTCTGTAGACTGAGAGGTTCTATGGCAGCGTCTGTCATTGAAAGGTCTACTTTAGAATTACATAAACCTTGTGAGAGCTCTTTACTCGAACACTACTAGTCGAATGAGAGCTTATGGCGAACACCGATTACCACGACGCTCAATGTTGACTAGTATTGGCTGTAGTTGGGAGAGAGTTGGGGGTGGGCAAATCAAAACATGACATCAGTGCTTGAGGTCACTCACTTCTAGCGTGAGTCGTGTTGGTAGATGCAGACTACTTGGTTAGGGTCCGCGTGACTATCGTAACCAATGGTTGGAGACTCTGGGAGACATGGCTCAGAATCGATCACAACGGCGTAGGTGTATACACTCTTTATCTTCCCTTAAACCTTGAGATTAAAATTGCTTCATATCTGTCTTCCTTCCTATACTATATCCTTATATAGAATCTTTCTTTATGTACTACCCCCACTAAATTAACTACTTCTATGAATCCGGTGTTGATCTTGTTGTGCTAATGAGGTATGGCAACTTGGACTAATGCATATATATGCCCGGTCCTACGTTGTAGCTGACTGATTGAGTGGTTATTATTGTTGTTGTTCAATTGTGTCTGTTTCTGGTGTGCAAATATATTTACGTTCTAATCAGGCTAATCACGTATTCTTTATCTGAGTTCTGTTAAAGCCCTATAGAAAATAGACTCTAGGAAGCAATCTAGTGTAATCTATTCATCTATAGTAAACTCACATCCTATTCAAAGTATAAACAATCAACTATCATTACAATCACTTACCAATGTATTCTTTTGTTGTTTTTGTTTCTCTTTATTATTAGTAGTATTAGTAGTAGTAGTATTATTCATTGGATCATTTAATTTTTTTCGATCTAATTTCATATTTTCTTTTAATGGCCACATTTGATCAATACATGATATCCAAAATGTAATTGAATCATAAATTGTTCCAATAATAGGTATTTTATGATAATTAGGATCATCATTATGATCATAATGATGATTACGTAATAATAAATGATGATCATATCCAAGAAATTTAACATTTTTTAATGTAATTGTATTTTCAATTAAATTAATTTTTGTTATAAAACCTTCATAATGATATTTTGCTTTAGTTATTAATAATAATTTAATGCCTATTGTTAATTGATTTAATTGTTTATTGATTTTATTCATAGTGATGTTGATTCTTTTCTTTTTTTCTTTTTTCTCTCTTGTTGATTGTTTTAGGTTATTTTCTCTTTTTTGTTTGTTGTTGTTGTTGTTGATTTCTATTCAATATGATTCATAATAGTTTGTTTTGTTTTTTTTTTGAAGAAAATTTAAATGATGTTTTTGAATTCAGATCAATAATTGATCGATTGATTGATTAATTAATCGATTATATGAATCAATTGGATTTAATGAAAATGTATTTTCTATTTAGTATAACATTAAAGAAAAAGTAAAATGATGTAATAAATACCATTTTTGATGATCATTTAAGATTTCATTGATTTATGAATTTAACTATTGCAAAATTTTCATAGTTGAAATCATGAGTCAATGGAAGCTGGACCACTATGAAAAACCTGAAAGCACTGGATGGCCGTTCCGTCTTATTGTGGGACTCCTCAGCAGTGCGCACCCACAATCCCGTCTAGCGAGATTCGAATCCACGACCTACCAGTTTTGCGGCGGAGCACTTAACCGATAGACCACTGAGCCGGTCGGCATTCAAAGGTGTTAATGTCTAACTTCAACTTTAGGAGTCCCATAATAAGACGAAACGGCCGTACAGTGCTTCCAGGTTTTCCATGGTGGTCTAGCTTCAATTGACTCATGATTTCAACTTTGAAAATGTTAAAAAATTATCAAAATCTTTACAACACCCCCTTTTTTGATAATAATCATCATGTGTTTAGTAGCGAATAGTTTCAAGAGGTGTTTCATAGAGTTCTATTAAAAACAAACCATGACCAGTGAAATTCAACTAGGTCTATTGTAAGGTAATGACTCATTAGAGGCAACAGTGGATGGTGTTAGACATTAACACCATTGGATGCAGGCTTAGTGGTCTAAAGATTAAGCGTTCGCGCGTGATACTGATAGGTCCCTGGGTTCGAATCTCTCGAGGCGTAATCGTGGATATGCACTGTTGAAGAGTTCTATACTAGGACGAAACGGTCTTCCAGTGCTTCCAGGTTTTTCATGATAGTCTAGCTTCAATTCATTCATGATTTCAACTATTAAATTGCCAAGAATTTATTTATTTCCATTTTCGTGTCTGTATATTAGTAATTGAATAATGACATTTATCAATGTATTTCTCAAACTATGAAAGAGTATAATGCAGTGACAAAGATTTGTTTATAACCTTTGAAATGGTGTTATCATGTAAATTCTGATAAACTATTCATTTACTTAACTTATTCAAATATATAATGAGCTTATATTTTAATAAATAAGTAGTAACGTGTTGAAGTGCATTATTAAACAATATAAGTGATTATTACAAGATTAAAACTGTAATTTGCCAGTCGGTTTGTCTATTTGCTAAATCTCACGACTATATTGATCTATCAATGTGCCTTAGATTGTCGAGTAAAATGATGGTTGGAGGTAGTCAACAGGAGAATATGGACATAGATTTCGCGTTATTTTGAACTTGTCAGCAAGGTGTATCTGTTTTCTTAAGGTAACTGATGCTCCCTGACGGATTCAACCCCGTGTCATCTAGCTTTATAGTCAGAGACGTTACCACTGAAGTATCCGGTCTGAGACTGACCTCCTGTAGGACTGTGATGTACTTACAATTGATTGATCACTGCGTGGTGATCAATATCATGTGTATCAGGTCCTTCTTGGTGCAGATCAAATCCTACCAACCAGGTTTCACTGTGTAGGAAACAACATTCGAAAAGAATTTTTTACTCTTCGAAAATTTAAAAAATTAAGATCAGTGGATATCGTTTGTTCCCATAACCTAGGACTGTTTAATGAAGTTCTCACCCATAATAATAATAATGATTGTGACATTACAAATGGTGTTATATGGTAAATATTTCGTCAGTGAATTAACTAAATGCCTATGATACTTATTTCTCTTTTTCATTACATGTTTATTCATTTCACTGGACTGTCATTGTTTCCGTTCGTTTATCTAGTAGAGGTTAATCATAGAAATTTGTTTTAATCCCATAATATGAATTAGAATAATCTTTCCTTCGAAATGTTTGAATTTCTATGTTCTACTCCCAGTCTTCAGTTTACTTGACTATATATTAGTTTTCATAGTTGAAAGCGTGAGTCAATTGAAGCTAGACAACTAGGGAAAACCTAGAAGCACTGAACGGCCGTTTCGTCCGATTGTGAGACTCCTCAGCAGTGCGCATCCACGACCTCACCTAACGAGATTTGAATTCACAACCTACCAATCTCGCTCTAGAGCACTTAACCGATAGACCACTAAGCCGGCCGGCATCCGATAGTGTTTATGTCTAACTCCAACCAATCCACAACAGGACAAAACGGCCTTCTAGTGCTTCCAGGTTTTCCTTGATGGTCTAGCTTCAATTGACTCACGCTTTCAACTATGAAAATACTAAATCTCCACATAAACCCTTCTAATATATATTAATTGTCAACGCTATTTCAAGACTGCATAGATCATAGCGATAAAAAGAAATACTATATTATAATTATCAATATCAAGCTTTAATGATATTAGATATATATTGACCATTGGGCAAATGGTTTACAGCTACACAATCATCAATGTATGTGTGTGTGTGTGTGTGTGCTTTAATCCCAATGAATAAACTGATAATTATTAAACCATTACAAATTGTCTTGGTAATATTGTTCAAATAACACATGACTACTACTACTACTACTTATAAATATCAGTGGGTGTTTTATTTATGAAATCTTTAATGGATACAATATAAATGCTTAAGTTAACTCTATTAGAAACCAATATAATAGTATATTTATTCAATGAATTGACTTACATAATTTGTTTATCACTGGAATACATCAAATGTAACTTATATTGGAAGATTTAATCATATAAAAATGATTACATAATCTAATTTATTGATTTATACATTGAATATATTGATTGATTGATTGATTGATTAGTTTATTAGATATTTGTGATCAGTCATCGAGAAATGAAGTTATGAATTAATTGGATAGTATAATCTTTATTATATTAACCAATTGTTTATTATTCATTATTAATCATATTGTATTTAAAGTATTCAAATCCAATTAATATTGTTTACTTGAATCTACTCATTGATTGATCAGTCTCTTATTGGTCTATGTGAATCCTGCATCGATATTGCCTTAATTCATAAACTTTATAAGCAAAGATGGAAAGTGGTTAGAAGTGGAATCAAGGATGTACGTTTCGTCCTATTTGGGACTCGTCAGTTAGATGTACATGCATCTGAAAGTTGATGTTCACTCTGGGATTCGAACCCATCTTTTCTTGGAATGCTTATGAATTAAGGTTATATCGAAGCAATACGCAAAGTATGCACATATGCCAATTAGAGACTGACCAGTTACAGTCCGAACACATCAATGGGAAGATTCAAACAAACAATACTAAATGAATTTAAACTTCACCCCATTGCACAAGCAAATGACTATCAGGACTCAGTGGTCGAGTGGATAACGCGATAACATTTAAAGTAAACGATACTGGGTTCGAGTCCCGAAGTGATCATGAACTTTGAGGTTCAGGTATATCTAGCTGACGAGTCCCAAGTAGAACGAAATGCTTATCCATGATTCCACTGCTAACCATTTTTGCTTATGAATAGTTATTTTTATCCAGATATTATTTTCTTCACTAAATAAATCATCACTTCTTAAAAACTGTTCCTGCACTCCATTTACTTATATTCATAATTACTTTCTTTTTTCTTCAAAGGATTCAAGTATCGTCATATTGGCCTATTGTATCGTATACATGATCAAAAAAGGATGATGACCATCAAGTTAACTATAAGACATTTTACCATTTAATAACTCTTTGGTATAATTTAATGACCTATTCAATTAAAACAATAAAATCAATTTGTTATATTGTTCATTGTTTTTTTCCTTAATTATTTATGCTTAGTCTCAGAGAGAAGTTAATGATCATATGAATAAAGTACAGTAGTAGTGTGATGTGGGTTACTTATATCCACATAAGTAGTATATAATGATGGTCGAGGATTGAATGTATTTCAGTAGAAGGTCAATGATGAAAAAACGAAAATGGAACGCGATTGGTATGAAAATGCATGAGCAATTATAATTAGAGACAATGAACTGATATTTGCAACAGGAACGTTGAAGATTGAGACAAATGACTGATAGTTTGCAAAGTAACTGTTTACTATATGGTTCTGTATTTTTTGTGCCCAAATATATTCGATTGTCCTCACTTGTGTTCTATTCACTATATTTGGTTTATACAATAAGTCTTACATGAAAACATTGTCATATGATTGAATATTTGGTATGATTTATCAATTCTATTATTATAAATAGCAGTTGATCGAAGAGAGAGTTTTCCTTCAGTTCGTTCTCTGTAAAGACTTTACATTAACATTCTGATTTTACAGCTAAGAATTAAAACCAACACCGTTTAAGTAATGGTTAGTTTATCTAACAACGTATTTTAATATTTTCTATAGAACCAATACTTACTTACGCCTGTTACTCCCAATGGACCATAGACCGTTAACCAGTATTCTCCAACCCACTCTGTCCTGACCCTTCCTTTCTACTTCTATCTAGTTTTTGTTCATTCTTCTCATGTCTGTTTCCATTTCTCGGCGAAATGTGTTCTTTGGTCTTCCTCTTTTTCTTTGGCCTTCAGAATTCCATGTAAGGGCTTGTCTTGTGACACAGTTGGCTGATTTCCTCAATGTGTGTCCTATCCACTTCCAGAATTTCTTCCTGATTTCTTCCTCCACAGGAATCTGGTTTGTTGTCTCCCATAGTAGAATGTTGCTGTTAGTGTCTGGCCAACGGATGCGAAGTATTTTGCGTAGACAACTGTTAATAAACACTTGTATCTTCTGGATGATGGCCTTCATAGTTTTCCAAGTTTCAGCCCCATATAGTGTAAAAACGATAATCATTTAAAAAATCGGTGGATGCAAAATTAAATTTAAAGATAAGATTGCATAATCAATCAGCTATAATAGCTCAGTATTTGAGAATAAAAATGAAGTAAGTTTATAATTAAGTAATTAATAAAATAGTAAAACTGTTGAAGAGAAAACTAGGTAATTAGTTTAATAACAGGAACAAAAATTATTAAGGAGAGGATCTCGTTAACTTAAGTGGTGTTACAAAACTTGTCATTGATGCATTAGTATACTTGAGAAACAAACAACAAGAAGAAACTGAATATTCAATCAACCTTTCATTAAGTCATCATTATTATTACTTTTTTGATAGCATCGAGTTTCGATCGACTATGATCACCACTACAGTAAGATTACGCGCCCAAAATCGACTTGGTTCTTTTGATAGCTCGTAAACCAGAAGAA